TAATGTTTTGTATTTTTAGTAGAGACGGGGTTTCACCATGTTGACCAGGATGGTCTCGATCTCTTGACCTCGTGATCCACCCGCCTCAGCCTCCCAAAGTGCTGGGATTACAGGCTTAAGCCACCGCGCCCGGCCCCTGGACTGAATTTTCTTTCTTTTGTTCTTTCTTTTCTTTCCTTTCTTTTTTCTTTCTTTTCTTTTTCTTTCTCTCTCTTTCTTTCTCTCTCTCTCTCTCTCTCTCTCTTTCTTTCTTTCTCTCTCTCTCTCTCTCTTTTTCTGAGATAGGGTCTTACTGTACTGCCTAGGCGGAAGTGCAGGGGCATTATCTTGGATCACTGAAGCTTCAACCTCCTGGACTCAAGTGATCTTCCCATCTCAGCCTCCTGAGTAGCTGGAACTAGAGGCATGCTAGCCACGCCCAGCTAATTTTTGCTGTTGCTGTTGTTGAGGCAGGGTCTCATTATGTTGCCCAGGCTGGTCTTGAACTCCTGGCCTCAAGTGATTCCCCTGCCCTGGCCTCCCAAAGTGGTGGTTACAGGCGTGAGCCACGGCACCTGACCAGGCCCCAGTTTCATCCGGCTTAAGCATCCTGGTGGGCTCCAGTCCTGCAGCTGTGGAGAAGCACCCTGGCAGCTGCCTAGCTTCACCGCATATTTGGGCCCCTTTATGACAATGTTCCTTTCACTCGTCAGTCCCTTATCTGTTCTTATAATTTTTCTTCTCTAAATTATAAACCCATGTCCTCAGTACCAACATTTCCCGTTGCAATCAGGCCTTCCAGTATGATTTAGAAGGACTAGTAAGCAGGCCCACTGTGTCCTGAACTCTATCTTCTTGGGCAACTTACTTAACCCCAGGCCTCAGTTTCCTTATCTGTAAAATAAGGGTAACAGTCACTACCTTAAAGGGTTATCACAAAAATCAAGTGAATTAATCACCATGAAATGCTGAGAGGAGTGACTGTGCACTAGGCACTCAGTAAACTGAGGCTGGGGGCCGGGCACGGTGGCGCACGCCTGATCCCAGCACTTTGGGAGGCCAAGGCGGGTGGATCACCTGACGTCAGGAATTCGAGACCAGCCTGACCAACATGGTGAAACCTCATCTCTACTAAAAATACAGAAATTAGCTGGGTGTGGTGGTACACACCTGTAATCCCAGCTACTGGGGAGGCTGAGGCAGGAGAATCACTTGAACCCGGGAGACGGAGGTTGCCGTGAGCTGAGATCCCGTCACTGCACTCTGCCTGGCAACAGAGTGAGACTCCGTCTCAAAAAATAAATAAATAAATTGAGGCTAGGATGCCATGCCAGCCTGATCCAATCTCTGTCAGGTCACGTGGTAAAGCAAACCTGTAATCACTGCGTCTCTGTTTCCCATGAGATTATCTGCTCCAAGAGAATACGGCTTGTGTCTTCCTTCTTTACCCAGTGTCTAGCATACAGAAGGTGTTCAAAGGTGGCACAGGGGCTCACGCCTGTAATCTCAGCACTTTGGGAGGCTGAGGTGGGCCTATCAATTGAGGTCAGGAGTTTGAGACCAACGTGGCCAACACGGTGAAATCCCGTTTCTAGTAAAAAATATAAAAATTACAGGCCGGGCGCGGTGGCTCACACCTGTAATCCCAGCACTTTGGGAGGCCGAGGCGGGTGGATCACAAGGTCAAGAGATCAAGACCATCCTGGTCAACATGGTGAAAGCCCGTCTCTACTAAAACTACATATAAAAATTAGTCAGGCGTGGTGGCAGTCACCTATGGTCTCATCTACTCAGGAGGCTGGGGCAGGAGAATGGCTTGAACCCGGGAGACAGAAGCTACAGTGAACCAAGATCACGCCACTGCACTCTAGCCTGGGAAACAGAGCAAGACTCCATCTCAAAAAAAAAGGAAAAGAAAAGTAATGTGTTCAAAGGCGTTTGTTAATGGGCATTCAAAGAGAAGAAAGCCATGAAGAGGAGCAGCTGGGTCCTCTACCCACCTTGTCATTCAGGAAGCCAATCTTGAGAATGTTCTGAACACCAGGAACCCCATCGGCCATGGTGAGGTCCCCGATGGAGTCTCCCAGCAGGATGACATTGGTTTTGCCCTCAAGTTGCTGGAAGTAGCCAGAGTTCTCACACACAGAGCTGTTCTTGTTGTATGTGTGTATGAGCTGGCCCTTAAATCCCTGGAGAAAACCCTAAATAATGAAGACAAGAGACAGATGGAAGGGTTGCAGGGACCCATGCAGCACCAGTTCCCACTGTCTCGGTCACAGAGAAAACGGAATCCCAAAGGTAATAGATAATGCCAACACTTCATTGTAACCTCAACTGGGGCCCAGGGGCCAGACTTGGCCTGCTTTTGTAAATAAAGTTTTATTGGGATACAGCCAAACTCATTTGTTTACATGGTGCTATGGCTGCTTTTTTGTGCTATAACGGCAAAGTTGGGCAATTGCTACAGAGATACCATGGCCCACAATGCCTAAATATTGACACCAAGGCCTTTTACAGGATAAGTCTGTAACTCCTAGTTTAAGTGGACAGAAGCCACCCAATACTGCAGTTCATCTGTTCTGGATGCACAGAGCTGTGATATAAATGCCGCTCAGGTTACACGTGTGCTATGCTCAGCTGCGGGCCACATCCTCACTGCAGGTCCATGTGATGAAAATTCCAACCATCAGTTTTATGGGGAAAAAAGTCAGAACTTGGATGAGTTGGAGCAGCCCACCTCTGGCTTGGGAAAAACAAATCAAAGCCCAAGCCTTTCAGGATGCAGGATGGCACAAACCCCATGACAGTGACATGGGGCAGGGCAGGCCCATAAACTAGGTACCCCAGAGCAGAGAGTTGACTGTCAGGCAAACAGCAAAGAGAGAGGGTCCTTCAAAAAGTTTGTTTGTTTGTTTGTTTGTTCTGGAGACAGAGTCTCACTCTGTTGACCAGGCTGGAGTGCAGTGGTGTGACCTCGGCTCACTACAACCTCTGCCTCCTGGGTTCAAGCGATTCTCCTGCCTCAGCCTCCCAAGTAACTGGAATTACAGGTGCCCACCACCATGCCCAGCTAATTTTTGTATTTTTAGTAGAGATGGAGTTTCACCATGTTGGCCAGGCTGGTCTCGAACTCCTGACCTCAGGTGATCCACCTGCCCCGGCAACTTGAAGTGCTGGGATTACAGGCATGAGCCACTGTGCCTGGCCAAGAAGTAACCCGTAAACAACTGCCTAAAGATGAAGAAGCCAGCGTGCCTTCCCTTCCCTTCCTCCCCAAGTTAGGGTTCATGCAGAGTAAACCATCCTGGCTGGTGGTCCCCACCCCTCATCCTTTCTCAGCCCAAACAGGATCTGGCTCACATCTTCATTAAAATCCATGTAGTTGGACACGATGTGGATGTTGGGGTGGAACACTTTCATCTGTCGGATAATTTCCTCCAGGATATCACCAATGCCCGCAGAAAAGATGAAAAGGGGAATATTGTTATGGTAGAGTGTGTTGAAGAAGGTCTTGTATCCTTCCCTGAAACGAGATGAGGAATTCTGAAATGGCACTGCCTCCACTGCTGTCCTTTTTTTCAGTTATTTGTGTTTTGGGTTTTTTAGAGACAGGGTCTTGCTCTGTTGCCCAGGCCAGAGTGCAGTGGCACAATCACAGTCGCTGCAACCCCTCGACCTCCTGGGCTCAAGTGATCCACCCGCCTCAGCCTCCCAAGTAGCTGGGACCACAGGTGCACACCACCACATCTGGCTAATATTTTTATGATTTGTAGAGATAGGGTTTTCCTATGTTGCCCAGACTGGTCTCAAACTCCTGGGCTCAAGCCACCCACCTACCTTGGCCTCCCAAAGTGCTGGGATTACAAGCTTGAGCCACCACACCTGACGGGTTATATATATTTTTTAAACTTTTAGGGTAGGCATCATGGCTCATGCTTGTAATCCCAGCACTTCGGGAGGCGGAGGCAGGATCTCTTGGGTCCAGGAGTTCAAGACCAGCCTGGGCAACACAGGGAAACACATCTCTGCAGAAAATTTAAAAATTAGCCAGACATGGGGGCCCGCACCTGTTGGGAGGTTGAGGAAGGAGGATGGCTTGAGCCCTGGAGGTCAAGGCTACAGTGAGCCATGATTGCGCCACTCCACTCCAGCCTGAAGTGACAGAGCAAGACCCTGTCTCCCAAAAAAAAAAAAAAAAAAAAAAAAAAACTTGAAAAAAAAAACATTTAAAATTGAGCAGACTCACACCTGTAATCCTAGCACCTTGGGAGGCCAAGGCAGACCAGCCTGGCCAACATGGTGTAACCCCATCTCTACTAAAAAAAAAATACAAAAATTAGCCGGGAGTAGTGGCGAGCCCCTGCAATCCCAACTACCTGAGAGAATCGCTTGATCCCAGGAGGCAGAGGTTGCAGTGAGCTCAGATTGCGCCACTGCCCTCCAGCCTGGGCAAAAGAGTGAGACTCCATCTCAAAAAATAAATAAAATAAGCCATACAATATATTCAATAAGTGGTTAAAATGTGCTAATCCTAAGCGTTCAGCTCAGTCACTTCTGACATACATATACACCCATGTAACTAACTAGCGTAAGCCTCCCTCGTGGTCTCTCCCGGTCAGTATCATCCCTCCCATCAATTAACTTTGCCTGTCCTTGAACTTCATATAAATGGACTCATACACAATGTACTCTTTTGTGCCTGGCTTATTTTGTTCAGTACAATGCTGGGTAGTTTATCTATGTTTTGTATGGAATGAGTTTATTTTTTTTTATTTTATTTTTTTTTTTTTTTCCCCGAGACGGAGTTTCACTCATGTTACCCAGGCTGGAGTGCAATGGCGCAATCTCGGCTCACCGCAACCTCCGCCTCCTGGGTTCAGGCAATTCTCCTGCCTCAGCCTCCCGAGTAGCTGGGATTACAGGCACGCGCCACCATGCCCAGCTAATTTTTTGTAGTTTTAGTAGAGACGGGGTTTCACCATGTTGACCAGGATGGTCTCGATCTCTTGACCTCATGATCCACCCGCCTCGGCCTCCCAAAGTGCTGG